AGACTACAGAGTGGTAAAACATCTGTAGCATGGTCCTGCAGAGACCATTGAGTGGTAAAACATCTGTAGCATGGTCCTGCAGAGACCACTGAGTGGTAAAACATCTGTAGCATGGTCCTGCAGAGACCATCAAGTGGTAAAACATCTGTAGCATGGTCCTGTAGACTACAGAGTGGTAAAACATCTGTAGCACCGTCCTGCAGACATTAAAGCACCTGAATCTACTCAGAAGACAAAAGCGACTCTGTCCTTTCTTGTAGAGGTGCTGGTGTTGGGCTGTCCAGTCCAGTTTATTGTCTAGGTGAACCCCCAGGTACTTGTAGCAGTCCACAGTGTCCACCTCAGTACCCTTGATGTTGATTGGGTTGTGGGGCTGGTCTTCTTCCTGTAGTCCATCTGCAGCTCTTTAGTTTTTCTAACGGTGAGTTGCAGCTGGTTCTGTCCACACATATTTAATTATCCAGCAGACTTTTTGCTTTATAGTTTAGTAAATTTGCAGATTTCATCTCTAATTAAATGTTTTAGGGAAAAAAGTAGATTTCAACCTGGAGTTTCAAAGTAAAGTTCATTGATACTTTTCAAAATAAGACTCCTACTCTCTTGTAGCATAGAGTACTGTTGGACATCCTTCAGAAATATTTGTGACTAAACCTGAGGTCATCAGTTCAAAACATTTTACACACCAGAACCAGAGCCAAAAACAGTTTAAATCCCTCCAGTCAGACCATCAGTGGGACTGGTTGAGTTTCAGCAGCACAAACCAGTAACTTCTCCAGAACTGGTTCCAGTGATGCCAGAAAACGCTGCCCTTTGGTCTCTGTGACGGACCTGCTGTCTCCACGCTGCTGGAGCTCCAAACGTCCTCTTTGTCCAGATTTAGAACCGCCTCGGCTTCTAAAGTCCCATGGAAGACCAGAGACGTCTCATTTGTCTGTTGGTGCGGGACAGTTGGACCTCGGGCTTTTATTAGTGATTCCTCTGCCGACCGCTGTGGTCTGAGAAGGAACGTTCCTCCAAAGAATGGGTTTTATTTTTTTCAGAAGCTGTTTGTCACTTTTTGTTACTGAAGTTTGCAGACAGCGTGGAATAAATGTGGATTAATCTGTTTTAAGCTAATGCTAAATTTAGCTGTAGCATCCGAAAAAGCTTTTCTTTTCTTCGTCATCACTTTGTTCACAAAATGTTTTATTTATATTATTGTTTACTGCTAGTACCAAAAAAACACACACATTTTATTAAACAGACCAAACATTCATCAACTTTGTTTTATGAGCTCTGAGTATCTTAAAACTTGAACTGGGGGGGGGGGGGTCTTTTTACTTTGTCGTATTTCCTACATATGAAACTATAGATAAAAATGTGACCACACAAATGTTCAGCCACTCGACGGTTACCTTCTTTGATACAACCTTTAGTTTTTGAGCAGCTTCTGTCTGAGGCTCAATTTCAAGTTTACTTTTTTGTCAAAGTGCTGCTGTGTCCTTCCCAATAAGCGGGAATCACCATGGCAACCAGTGACTGAGGTTTGAGTCACTAATTTGACACTTTTATTTTTGTTGCAATAATTCATGAAGACTGCCCGTTAAATCCTACAGAATCTGAGTTGGTCAAAGTTACAACAATTTTATGGAGAACTGAATAAAGAAGAGAAAATAAATTGTTCTTCCAAAAATGGTGGGAATCACCATGGCAACCAGTGACTCCACACAGGTCTCCCTGGTTTATCTTTGTCCATCATGACTCCCTCCATAAATCCTGTACAATTTCATGTAATCTCTTATTAGACATTTTTTGTTGAGGTACATTAAATAAAACTCATTCAGAATTTAGTAGAACAAAAACAAACAGGAAGATTTGACTGCGGTGTTTCAAAGTAAATTTGTAAGTACTCTACAGAAGAAGACATTTGGTCTGTTCGTAGTATTTGTGAACATTTGAATTATATTTCTGATCAAACCAAATTGTTGACAGCGTTATTCTACCCCTCTCTTCAGACATCTTCGTGCTGATTGCCTCCGTGCCGGTGGTGGCTGTGAGGAACCAGGGCAACGTGTTGGCCACGTCGCTGCGCAGCCTGCGGTTCCTGCAGATCCTGCGGATGCTGCGTATGGACCGGAGAGGAGGAACCTGGAAGCTGCTGGGTTCTGCCATCTACGCTCACAGTAAGGTAGGACCGGACCTGCTGATCGGATCACAGCCAGACATGAATGACGGGAACGACTCGACCCTCTTGATTAGACAAAGACGGTTTACGTATTTTAACTGACAAACGGCACATGTGGGTTCCTGCGTCTCCCCAGGAGCTGATCACAGCCTGGTACATCGGCTTCCTGTCTCTGATCCTGGCGTCCTTCCTGGTCTACCTGGTGGAGAAGGACGACGTCTCCGTCAACGTCTCCGACCAGGAAAACCCCACGGTACAGCCCCAGACTCAGGACTTCGACACGTACGCCGACGCTCTGTGGTGGGGGCTGGTATGTACGGAGCCCACCATGTGAAGACCAAGTTAATTTAAATAGGTCCTTCTGAAAATAAATGTCATTGACTCATCTGATCGTTTCTTCATGCTTCTACATAAAGTTGTGTTTCTTTCATTTCTCAATTCAACCTTTATTTCTACAGGTGAGTCTCATTGAGCCTCGAGGACTCTTTTACAAGAGAGACCTGATTTAAACTGAGCGATGACAACAGACAGTCATTAAAAGCATTTAAGATGAACAGTAAATGGAAGAAGTCACCAAGATTATAAGGCGATGTAGAAAAATAAAACCAGGAACATGTCTGCGTTGGTTCTTGCCAGGAACTTATCAGATGTTTGAAGTCGCTTAGAGAGGTCAAAGGTCAAGAGCTTCAGATCTTTTTACAAGATATTCCAGGAAACAGGAGCGGAGTAGGAGAAGGTCCTTTTGTCTAGTTCAGTCCTCACTGAGGGAACACTGCAGGTAATGATGTCCTGAGAGCGCACGCTGTAGCTGCACTCACACAGAGACATGTAGGAGGAGATGTATGAAGGCAGCAGACCAGGAAGTGATTTAAAGATGAAAATGTACCAGTGGGAGAGTCTGTGTGAAGTTAATGGTGACCAGTTAACCAGTGAATACTGGGTGCAGTGGTGGGTACGATAATCACAGCCAGTTATGAATCTTAGTGCACCATGATAGACAGCATCCAACATCTGCAGCATCCAACATCTGCAGCATCCAACATCTGTAGGGTTCTTGTAGGGTGCTGGGATGCAGGGAGGGACACTCCCGTGGAGGGAGTTGCACGGGTTGCCTTCTTGTGGCTCCACCACCTACAGGAGGGGCCTTATGAGCCGAGTGAATGATGTCATGGGCAGCAACCGAAGGTGTGGGCCTTGGTACTCTGACCCTGGTTCATCAAAGATGGCTCCTCCTACGGTCATGAACTCTGGGTAGTGACCAAAATGACTAGATCTTGGTTGAAATGAGTTTCCTCTGCAGGGTAGCTGGACTGTCCCTCAGAGAGAGGGTGAGAAGTTCAGTTATCAGGAGAGACTCGAGTAGAACCGCTGCTCCTCCACATCCAGAGGAGCCAGCTGAGGTGGTTCAGACATGTCCGACTGGGTGGAGACCCCGGGGAAGACCCAGGATACGCTAAAGAGACAACAGATATGTCTCTTAGCTGGTCTGGGAATGTCTTACAGTCCTCCCAGAAGAGCTGGCTGTAGAAAGAGATGGTGAGCAGAGTTTGTGAACTGAGGTGAGGCAGCTTCTATAAGCCAGGAGCGCCATGGCGCCATGCACCAGACTCAAGTTCTTTCCTGTTGGAGGTGATGAACCTGCTGCCTCTGAGTCCTGACTCCAGAACAAGATGATGGATTTCCACCTCTGGAACGAGATATTTCACCCTTTGGTCCTGCAGGAAACCTTTTAACTGCTGAACCTGCACCCAGGACAAATAAATCATCAGTTCTGAGAATCTTCTAGACTATTGAGGTCCTGCTGAAGAATAGACTGTTCTGGACACCGTAAGATCTCAGAGCTTGATGAGGTGGTTGAGTTACTTCCAGAGCAGGTGACTGAGAAGCACTGACACAGTTTCCTCTGCAGCAGCTCCTCACTGAAGACCATGTCCTTCAGCCAGAACAGACTGGGAGCACCTGGCTGGTCTTCTCTTTTTATCTGCCTGGACAAAAATCTGAGGAAACGTTGCAAAAACTCTTTCAGATTTTCTCCACAGACAGAATCCTGCTGAAACCTTTTAAAATTATTTTATTTGTCGACTCAGCCCTGAATGTTCTCTTCTACAGATCACGCTGACCACCATCGGGTACGGGGACAAGACCCCCAAAACCTGGGCTGGGAGACTGCTGGCCGGGACCTTTGCTCTGATTGGAGTGTCCTTCTTTGCTCTGCCTGCAGTGAGTCCATCGTCGGTTTGTCCGTCTGTGTCTGAACCTCTTTAACTCAGAAACCCTTCAGCTTTCACTGCCGCTGGGTTTTTGGCTGCAGGGGATTCTGGGTTCTGGTTTGGCTCTGAAGGTCCAGGAGCAACACCGGCAGAAGCACTTTGAGAAGCGCAGACATCCGGCAGCCGGCCTCATCCAGGTGAGCTCTCCCAACCGGAAACACCGGTAAATGTCCGGTAACAGTTCTGGCTAAAGTTTTAATTTGATTAAATCAAAAATGTTAAATTAGTTTTCTGTTCGTTTGAAGTCGGCCTGGAGATATTACTCCACCAACCCAATCAGGGAGGACCTCATCGCTACCTGGAGGTTTTATGAAACCATCATCTCTCTGCCCTGCTTCAGGTGCGTGTCTCTTCGTCCCTTCCTCGTCCCCTCTTCATCCCTTAATCCCCTCCTCACCCCCTCCTCGTCCCCTCCTTGTCCCCTCCTCGTCTCCTCTCCATCCCCT